GGCCACGAAGGACACACCCGACCCATCCTTCAAATTCGGGGAAAAGGAGGACGCATTTGTCGGCTGCATTCGGAGGAGTCTACGAATTTGCACAGCCTTCGTCGCGTCACTGTGACTTAATCGGTCTACAAATGCGTCCTCAGGAGGAAGCAGCCCATGAATTTGGACACCCCCTAAGAATAGATTCTTAATTTATTCCGCTGAGATCGTTTCTGATGAGGCTTCAGTTAGTTAGTCAGGTCCTGTGTCACAGCTTCATTTCTTTTCTTGATGAAGGACATGACACACTGTTCATGTGCTGCACATCATTTTTAAAACTTGCCTCCTCAGTCCTCAGTTTTTCAGTGTTTGCAGATTTCTGAAAGACACGCTGCACACCATTCCTGTAAAGGATCCATGGAAAACATGTGGCTGTACTCAGCTTGCTGCATTTGGTGGTGATAGATTGCCAGCTTATACACTGTGCACAGAGCATAGTCACAAATACTCCTCACAGCCCTCGACTGGATATTTGGTTTTAAAACACACACACACACACACACACACACACACACACACATTTATGTATATACGTCACAGTGTGAATGAAGTAATGGGACTGATCCACTGTAACATTTTTGTTACATTTTCGTCGTTTTAGGATCAAAGCACATAAAAACCGCATCTACATGTGTTCACATGTCAAACAGCAGCTCTCTGTAGGTCAATGATGAAAGTCAGTAATGTCATGCAGTTGTGCTTTTTCAAACACACACATGTATGTCATTTGTTTGTGTGTGCTCACAACGAATCACTACGTATGTGAGCATTTTCATCTGCTTGCTTTTTCTCTGTGCCTTTGCCTTTCAGGTCAGTGATGAAGATGGACAGATGAAGTTTACTTCTAATCCGCAGGGAGCAAATCAAGTCCCACAGCTTATTATCCCGGACTAATTTAACACTGCTATCTACAGCTGCCCTGGATATATACACACACACACAGAGACACACACATAGAATAGCGCTTCCATCCCTTCAGAGGAAATTACACTGACTTGCATTCATTTTCTCCCTTAACCATTTTCTCAGCTCTAAAACTTACCCTGACCATAAACCATCTTCAAAAGGATACACACTTGTGTTCAGTAACATGGATGCTGGATCAGCCTGTGTCAGTCACAAAACCATTTTACTTGGAGAGCAGACTCACTCAGCCACCAACGTACAGGAAGAAAGCACATAATAAGATGTCTTTATAGACGTTGCCTTGCACACTGGTGCACCGTCATGTTGGAACAGAAAGGGGTCATCCCCAAACTGTTCCCACAAAGGTGGGAGCGTGAAATTGTCCAAGATGTCTTGGTAAGCTGAAGGATTACGTTTCACTGGAACAAAGAGACTGAGCCCAGCTCCTGAAAAAGATACCCCACACCATTATTCCACCTCCACTAAGTACAGTTTTTCTGGCAACCACCAAACTCATCCATCGAATTGCCGTCTCCACTGTTTCAGAGTCCAGTTTCACTGGGCTTTACACGAGTGCTTTACTCTTACATTGCACTTGGTGATGTGAGGTTTGGATGCACTTGCCATGAAAAAGCTTGTAATGCACTGTTTTTGAGCTAATCTGCACACCACATGAAGTTGAATGGTGGGGGAGACTGTAGTGTTATAGGGACACGTCCTGTGTGAAGGTTCTGTTTTCTTGTTTAGTAAACTTTCTGA